TCCGGTCCACGGGATGTGTGGGCGGGCCATCGTGGGGGCCCCCTATGGACGGGACGGCTCTGGCTTCCAGTCTCAGGCTGCCCTCCTCCCTCACTTCCTTGTGGCCAAGGTTCAGCCCCCTGTCCCTGAAGGGTTCCCCAGTTCTCCCGGCTCCAGAGGCCACCTGCTCCTCTCCCTCAGGGCATCCCTGTTTCTTTTCCTTCCCCCTCCTTAGCCCCTGGGGGGCCTAGAGCAGCCCCACTCCAAAGCCAGCCCTGCCGGCGGCTCGCAGGGTTTGGAGCCGGTGCAGCGACGTCGCCCGCAGTAACGGGTCTCCTGTCCCCGTGTCGGGCGCGTCTGTTTCCTCCTTCGCCTCGATGACGCCTGTCCCTTTCTCGCAGGCCTGGAGGTGTCTTGTGGCGTGGGCACGCCGGGCCCGCCTGCCCCATGGAGAGCCAGGGGGCCCTGTAAGATGAAGAGGGTCCGCACGGTCTTCAAACCAGAGCAGCTGGAGCGGCTGGAGCAGGAGTTCCTCAAGCAGCAATACATGGTGGGCACCGAGCGGGTGGACCTGGCCACCGCCCTGCGCCTCACAGAGACCCAGGTAGGACCCCACTCCCCTTCTCCTGAGGCCCGGTCAGTCTGGGGTCTGTCCAAGGAGATGCTGTCGTGCAGGGGTCTCGAACTCCCGACCTGCGGGCCACCCCCAGCTGCAGCAGTTGCGTAGCCCAGCCCGGGAATCTGGCCGGGCCCTGTCCGTCCCCATTTCCCAAGCCCCGCCCCTTCCTGTCATCACCCTGCCTTCCCCCGTGGCACCCTATTCCCCCTAGGGATGCAACCGCCGGGATTGGGGGGAAGGGCAGAGCAGGCCTGGCAGTACCCACAGACGTGCGGAGATTTGACATCCAGAGCTCTCCGCCCGCTGGGAATCACAAGCTGCTTATTCAGTTTTTAAACACATGTTGATTAGAGGGGGGGCGGGGGGAATCCTGGCCTCACTGAGCCGAATGGGAGTTTTGCCACTGGCTCAGTGGAGCCAAGATGTCACTCCCTGTTTTGGGGAGTTTATCCTTTAAAGAAAGCACAAGCAGGGTTTGGGGAAGGACTTCGGGGCTGGCTGATAAAGCCAGGGACTGGGAGTCAGGGCTCCTGTGATCCTTCTCATGATTGTCTGTGCAAATGGTATGACTACTGCGTGACTCCGTTTCCCCATCTGTAAACCAGGGATAATAACATCAGAACGGCCACACTGGGTCAGACCGAAGGTCCATCTAGCCCAGTGTCCTGTCTGCCCACAGTGGCCAATGCCAGGTGCCCCAGAGGGAGGGAACAGAACCGGTAACCATCAAGTGATTTATCCCCTGTCTCCCACTTCCAGAGTAACAGAGGCTAGGGACACCATTCCTACCCATCCTGGCTCATAGCCATTGATGGACCGAACCTCTGTGAATCTATCTAGTTCTTTTTTTAACCCTGTTCAAATACCACTTCCCAATCTCGCTGGGCAGTTGGCCAGCTTAGGTAAATGTCTGTAAATTGCTCTGAGAGCCTCAAAAGAAGGGAGCCATGGCTTTATTTATAACTATTCGTAAGTACCAAGTCCTTCTACAAGTAAAACTCCTCCTGGAGTCAAGGAGACTTGCCTGTGGAAGGATTACAGGACTGGGCCCCGCTGAGAGTATCTTAGCATAGTCCAAAAAATTGCAGGGTCAGGGCTTGCAGGCATCCGAGTTTTCATGGCCCGTTGTGGGGAACCTCTCCTAGGTGAAAGTCTGGTTCCAGAACCGGAGGATCAGGTGGCGCAAGCAGAACCTGGAGCAGAAGAAAGCGAAGCTGTTGCGGTGTAGAGGGACACAGCCTGTCCTGACGGACTTGGAGAACAAGGAGGAAGACACGGTGGATATAGAGGTCTAATGGGCTTGAGACTTCCCTGCTACAGACATTGCTCTTGCCATGGAACTAGTGGAGGTTTACAGCTACGTCCAGAGAGAAGACTGACCGATGACGTGTACCAGGGAGCTCAGCAGCTGCTCCACACATACCGGACTGGCCTGGCGCTGCTTAGGATGAGTTCATGATACGCAGCTCGCACAGTCGGGCAGCATCACACTAACACCGGGGGCCTGCTCGTCAGGTCAGCTGCGCGAGGGCAGTGTCCATGTGAGGACCCGTGTATAAAACCAGGTCCCTCGCAATTCTCTCTTTTCTCATTCAGAATGCAGGCTCCTTCCCAGCAGCAAGACTGGGGTTAAAATCAGAGATGAGGGTTGGTGACAATCATAGATTCAGCTCCAGGTATCAGTGCATCTAAACGCATGTGCTGCTGTGGTTTATCAGCTTCCCAGGTAGGGTAACCCTGGCAGGGAAGGTGCAAAGAGAATCTGGCTCCGGATTTTTACCCTAGTGGCTTCGCCAGTTCATGTCAGGTTTGAAGTTCAGGTCTGAACACAAAGTTGCCCCACTGCACTTTGCAGTAAAGTCAGCGGGATCTGACCATGCGAAGGCGAAAGAAGCCCAAGGGGCCATCATACTGCCACAAACACAGTTCTAATGGGAGCTTTGTGATGCAGCTGCTGTCCCTAACTAGTGAACCCCAATTCTCATCTTATTTACACCGATCCTCCACTGGTGTAGCTCTGTTACCTGCCATGGAGTTATTCCTGATTCTACAGGCACGAGAGGAGACTCGGGGCCTTTCACTTCAGGGTCAGGCTGCACGATCAAGCCCTAAAGATGGAACATTTTGCAGTCCAAGGGGTAGTTTTCCGAAAGCTGTAAGTGCCTGGGGCTTAGAATGAAAGTGCCTCCCCGTAGACCTCCTGCAGTGCTACATTAAGGATTTGTACATTTTTGCCTCTCTTCTGGCCTGCAAAGCCCAGATCAAAGACCTCAGTCCATCCCTACGCACATACTGCATTACCTTGCGCGTGCAGAGAGGCGCTCCTGGGATAAATTGTGGGCCTAGCTTTCAGCTCTCTCTCTCCACAGGGCAGGGTTTGGAGCTGGGATTTTGCTTCAGTCTCTTTCATGAATTTGGTTTGGGATTTCAAACGCTGCCTTTTTACCAAGCATGGCATGACCCACAAACCACCAGCAGCCCTCCCAGCAATGCACACACACTCCCCGTGACACCAGCTGTAGTTGCTCTCTTGTGGCTTCATCGCTGCATTACGCACTGGGTGGCAGAGGAAATATCTGGTGGGGTATGCCGGTAGCTCACAACATTGTGGCTACGTCTACACTGGCATGATTTTCCGCAAATGCTTTTAACGGAAAAGATGCTCAGGATAACTTATTGTGCCTCTTCCTGAACCAAAACATTGTAAATAACACGACTCTTCTATTATTTATAGACATAGCCCTGCCTTTTGGACACTCTTTTATTTATTTGCTGCTCCTTTTGCCCCAATAAAATCTTGTCTATTTTAAAAGAGTTTTAAAGAGACGGGAAGTGCCTGTGGGAACTGGGTAGTTCACCCGGGGATTGGAGCCGGTGGGTGATGGAGATGAGGCAGTATTGCCTTGGTAGATGGTTCACACCCTCTGTATGCTGCGTGCAGCCAGGTTCAAAGTGCAGTGTCCCATCGCGGATGCACTAGCCGTTTTCCCTCTTGCTTCATCGACAGCCCAGGATGGCCCGTGAGAGGGAAGCCAACAAACAGTGCCCCACTGCAATTCACAATGAAGTCAATGGGATCGGAGCACACTAAGGTGAAAAAACCAAACAGGCCATAATTGATACTGCCCACAAATGCAGTGCTTGTTGATTTTAATGGGAGCTTTGCAAACAGCCTGACGCTGCTGTCCCTATGTAGTGAATCCTGATTCTGATCACTAAGGCCGTGTCTAGACTGCAGGCTTCTTTCGGAAGAAGCTTTTCTGGAAGAGATTGTCCAAAAAAACTTCTTCAGAAAGAAAGTGTCCACACTGCAAAAGTGCATTGAAAAAGCAATCTGCTTTTTCGATACATAGCGTCCACACTAACTGGACGCTCTCTTGCATGTAAGCTGTGATTAATAAGAACGGAAGGGCAACCAGGGTACCTGTGCTTTTTCCTCTTTCCTCTTCTTGCAAAAGAACTCCCTCAGAAAAAGGCTTTTTCTTTGGAGAAAGTTGTTTACCAATGTTGGAAAAATCCCTCAGTTCTTTCAGGTTTTTTTTTTCAAAAGAACGCAATTGCAGTGTGGACGTAATTGAAGTTTTTTTTCCGGAAAAAGCACTGTTTTTTTTAGAAAAACTTTGTAGTGTAGACATACCCTATCACTGATCCTCCACCGGTGTAACTCCATTACCTGCCATGGAGTTATTCCTGAGCCCTACAGGTCAGGGCCCACGGTGTCCCTGTTAAAGAACAAAAGTTTGTAACTAGTGTTCCCTGTAAGCTGTATGCTTGGGGGGCTGCCCAGGAGAGAGTCAAGTGCTGCCCAGCTGATGAGCTGAGCACCCACAGCCAGCAGCATGGGAACAAAATTTATGCCTCACATGGATGGAAAGAAAACTAGAGGAAACATTGATTGTAACATGGGCAAGCCACTGAAAGGGTGATCTGCCTGCTGATTTTCACAGGCCCCGATACCTGATTTAGGTAATTCGTACAAAAAGAGTTGGTTCCTCAGAGCTGTCTGGACCCCTTGATGCTCTCTCAGCCAGACCATTCAAACAGACTTTTCAGCCCTGTAGGAGAGATGGGCTCCTGCCATAATTCACACGAATGGTGCTCTTTCCAGGCTATACCCCCCCATCTACTGACCCCTTCACAAATACTAACTGGGACTAGTTGGGTGAGTTGAGTCTGAAAGGCCTGCAGTCACCATGGCAACCAAAAATTCCTGGGATGAGCCAGAAGAAGCCAAGGACTTGGACTTGGATCTTGCCAAACACCCGGAGGCTTGGTAACCGAATGTGACCTGCTCAGCAGGGAGCTCCTTGGTGCATCAGGGTACCAATTCTAGCCCAAATGCCCATTTACCTCCACCACTGGCCTGGGAGATTTCCTACCTCTGAAATTGGGGGCAGAAAGCACAGCCACACGTCCTGCCCAGCTCCACTTACCTCATGAGGCACTGGGTGCCTAAAGACGTCCTGCTGCTCTAGCACAAGGCCCTACCATGCAGGCTAAAAAAAAAATCGCCATGAACTGTTTGCAGTGTAAGGCCTATGACGCACTGTCAAGCAGTTCTGATTCCATCCAGTAGAGGGCAGTCTCACGGGTGTGACATTTCTTTACAACATACTTACCTGTCACCTAGAAAATATGTCACGCTGCATTCTAAAGGTGTCACCGTGACTTAGAGCTGGTTGAAAAAACAGAATTATTTCCCCTATGGAATTATTCATGGGGGGAGGGAGAAAGGGGAAGAATAAAGATGTCATTTTTAATTCTCCGGGCTTCCTTCCCTTTCCTGTCCCGTTTAACTCCCCTTCCCTCCAATGAAGGGGAAAAAAGGATTGGAAAAATAGGGAAAATCCACTTTATTGGTTCCCAACTGACAAATCAGCATTTTTAAACAATAAACAGGTTTCACTATTGGACACACTATTGGATGTCCCCTTCCCTTCCTCCACACATACATTGGGACTGTGTCTAGACTGGCCAGTTGTTCCAGAAAATCAGCCGCTTTTCCGGAAAAACTTGCCAGCTGTCTACACTGGCCGCTTGAATTTCTGCAAAAGCACTGACTTCCTACTGTAAGAAATCAGTGCTTCTTGCGGAAATACTATTCTGCTCCCGTTCCAGACATTGGGGAAACATCCAGGCTGCATCTAGATTGGTATGATTTTCCGGAAATGCTTTTAACGGAAAAGTTTTCCGTTAAAAGCATTTTCGGAACAGAGCCTCTAGATTGGCACGGACGCTTTTCCGCAAAAAGTGCTTTTGCGGAAAAGCGTCCGTGCCAATCTAGAGGCTCTGTTCCGAAAATGCTTTTAACGGAAAACTTTTCCGTTAAAAGCATTTCCGGAAAATCATACCAATCTAGATGCAGCCTGGATGTTTCCCCAATGTCTGCCATTGGGAAAACAGTAGCAGGAAGCTGGAAAGTAGGAGAAACGCTACAATTTCAAAACCATTTTTTAAATGAAAGTTCTCATTTTGAAAATGCAGTGTCCCCCGCCCCTCCTTTTTTTAATGACAACAAATCTCATTTAATAAAACTATTTTCTGATGAAAAAAACATGTTGAGTGGCAAATTCCTTTCAATCCCTAGCTAACATGACATCATTGAGAATTAAAGTTACTTTCTAGAAAGGTGAGCTTATTAACCTCACTTCTGACCTTTTGGGGGCTCAGACAAGCAGGCTTTTCTGTTTTCTGGTCAGGTTGGAAAATCTCCCACACACCGATCTCAATTTCAAAAACACTGGCAGTCGTACCTGGTTCTTAAAGGCACAGTTCCTGTTGTAATAATCCCACACTCTTATCTAGCTCTTTCCATCCATAGCTCTCAAATCACTTTACCAATCATCCCCATTGTGAAGAAAGGGAAACTGAGGCAGAGAGCAGTCATGTGAGCTGTCCAAGGTTACCCAACCAATAAGTGGCAGAGCCAGGAATCAAACAGGGCTTCAGTCCCATGTTAGTCCTCTGACCACCAGGCCACACTGCCTCCCCATTAGTCACTTATAAAGACAGTCCAAAGCTGAAGAACCTACCAGAAATAAATACAATGACCTGTACCTGCCACGCTTGTCTGTGCCACTTAATTCTCAAGTAGTGGAAGCCCCATTGCTTGAGACAAAATGATGTTGGATGGTGCACTTGTAAATAGATTTCCAATAACACTCCTTCCCACCATGCAGAACGTTAGCACAAGACCAAGCCCTATGCTGAGGCTTAACTTAGGACGTAAGTTGGATGTCAGCCTTCTGGTGACTCTGCACAAAGTGGAAATTCTCCCTAGATGATCAAATAGGTCTGTCCCCTCTCCAGTTTTTCTGATTGCAAGAGAGGTACCCAGTGTTCCCCATAAGCTGAGAGTCTGGGTGGCCACCCAGGAGAGATTCAAATGCCACCCAGCTGGTTAGCAGAGTGGCCACACCCAGCAACATGTGTTTGTACTGGTGGTGCACAGTCTCATATGTCTCGGTGCACATAACAAAATTTATTCTGTACATGGATGAAAAAATCGAGGTAACACTGAAGGTAACTGGAGGTAACCTTTGGACTAGCATCCACAAGCTGCAGAGTAAAGTGTGATCTTGATCCTGCAAAGTGTGCTGAGTGCATGTGCCATTGGGAATTAAGGGAAACAGCACTTTACAAGAAAGTGGCTAATGCTCTGGCTACACTTGCTCTCGGTAAACCACGTCCCCGGGCACTGGAAGCCTGTTTACACTAGCACTATACAACGCTGTCACTTGCTGGGCTGGGTGTGTGTTTTTTTCACACCCCGAGTGAGAAAGTTTCAGGGCAGTAACTTGCCAGTGTAGACAAGCCCTCTGAAGACACACCTACGTTTCAGCCCTAACTTGCCTGAACTTTTTCTGACCATCTATGGCCAGTCAGAAAGCCTGCAGCGACACCTGCTGCCCAAAGAGCAGCCATGCTCTGGGTTTGACGGGGGTGAGGGGAAAGGCTGCTTTGTTTATGAGCCTGTGAGGAGGGAATTTCAAGTTTCCTAGAGAAACGTGCCAGGAAAACTCTGACAAAAGCTGGAGCTCAGCACCGGTGCAAGGTTACAAATTCTCCTTCTGTGTGAACTGGACCAGGAGACACAAAAAGCCAGTTCACCTCAAGAGGCCCAGTTAACTCCATGGGATAAAGTTCAATAAGGACAAATGCAAAGTACTTCACTTAGGAAGGAACAATCCATTTCACACATACAGAAAGGGAAGCGACTGTCTAGGAAGGAGTCCTGCAGAAAGGGATCTAGGGGTCATAATGGACCACAAGGCTAAATAGAAGTCAGCAGTGTGACACTTGCAAAAAAAGCAACCATGATTCTGGGATGCATTAACAGGAATGCTGTGAGCAAGACATGAGAAGTCATTCTTCCGCTCTACTCTGCGCTGATTAGGCCTCAGGTGGAGTATTGTGTCCAGTTCTGGGCACCACATTTCAAGAAAGATGTGGAGAAATTGGAGAAGATTCAGAGAAGAGCAACAAAAAATGATGAAAGACCTAGAAAACATGAGCTATGAGAGAAGAATGAAAGAATTGGCCTTGTTTAGTTTGGAAAAGAGAAGACTGAGAGGGGACATGAGAACAGCTTCCAAGTACCTAAAAGGGTGTCACAAGGAGGAGGGAGAAAAATTGTTCTCCTTGGCCTCTGAGGATAGGATAAGAAGCAATGGGCTTAAACTGCAACAAGGGAGTTTAGGTTGGACAGTAGGAAAAAGTTCCTACCTGTCAGGGTGGTTAAACACTGGAATAAATTGCCTAGGGAGGTTCTGGAATCTCCATCACTGGAGATATTTAAGAGTAGGTTAGACAGACACTTAAGATTTATTGGGGTCCTAGGCACAAAGAACATTTGGGCCCCCGCAAACTCTGGGGTTCCAGAGGCACCAGAGTGGGGGGGATGCACCCACCTACTTTTTAACATGCACCCCAGGCAGGCAGGGAGCAGAGACAGCATGGGCATAGTTTTGGGAAGAGTGAGGGACAAGGTAAGCCTTGTAAGTAAGCCTTGGCTCAAAGGCAGCAGGAGAAACAGAGCCGCACATGGCACCAGCACTGGTAGGGACAGCCTCGCATCTGGGGACTCTGCCAGCACATTTTCCAGCATGGCATCCAGGAAATCCGCCAAAACCTTGTGCAGAGCCTGCAAAGCAAGGGAGAGGCTGAGAGCCAGGGGCCAGAGCTAGGGAAACTGAGGCAACACCTGCTATGGGAGGGTAAGTGCTTCTCCACAAAGCACTGGTGAGACCCCAAACACATTCATGTCCCACGGCTAGCAGCTAGC